AATCAAGACAAATTAGACTACAGCAAAATTTAAAAATTCTGTGCTGCCAACAATATCACAAAGAAGGCAAAAAGACAACCCACAGAATGAAAGAAAATATGTGCAAATCATGTATCTGATAAGGAACTTGTACCTAGAATATATTTAAAACTCTTACAATTCAATAAGAAAATGACAAATAAATTAAAAAATGGGCGAAGGATTTGAATGGACATTTCTCCAAAGAAGATATACACATGACCAGCTGGGCCCAGTGGCTCACGCCTGTAATCCCAGCACTTTGGGAGGCCAAGGCAGGTGGATCAGCTCAGGTCAGGAGTTTGAGACCAGCCTGGTCAACATGGTGAAACCTCATCTCCACTAAAAATACAAAAATTAGCCCAGTGTGGTGGCATACCCCTGTAGTCCCAGTTACTAGGGAGGCTGAGGCAGGAGGATCACTTGAACTCGGAGATGGAGGCTGCAGTGAGCCAAGAACATGCCACTGCACTCCAGCCTGGGTGACAGTGAGACTCCATCTCAAAAAAATAAATAAATAAAATAAATTTAAAAATAAAATTAAAATGGCATTATTCATAATAGCCAAAAAGTGGAAGTAACTCAAATTGTCATAAACTGAAGAATGAATAAACAAAACGTAGTCTGTCCATATGGTGGAATATTTAGCAATAAAAATGAGTGAAGTACTGATACCTGGTACAACATGGCTGAACGTTGAAAACTTCGCGCTAAGAAGCAAGTCACAAAGGTCCACATAGTATGTGATTCCCTTTCCATGAAATGTGCAGAACAGGCACAGAAAGTAGCTTAGTGATTAGGGGCTGCAGGGAAGATGGAGAGTGACACTAAGTATATGAGGTTCTTTTGGAGGTAAGGAAAATGTTCCAGAATTAAATAGTGGTGATGGCTGCAGTCTCATGACTATACTAAAGAAAAAAAAAAAAAAACTGTACAATATAAATAGGCAAATTGTGTGGTATGTGAATTATATCTCAATAGAACTAAAAAATAGTAGTAGCAGCTAATACTTGTGGGGCACTTACGGGCTCTGGGCTAGGTATTTAAGGCACATTATTTCATTTAATTCTTCTACCAATTCTATGAGACAGGGACTATTACTATCTCCTATTTTACAGATGAGAAACCAGAGGCTTAGAGTGGTTACACAGCTTGCTTAATGTCAACACAGAGCCTAGCTGTGAGATGAGGTCTATGTGACCTCAAAGCTTACAGCCTTGACCACTTCTCATACCGCCTCTCATATCCAGTCCACTGCTAGGTTCTTCCAGTCTACCTGGCACCATTTCCTTTTTATTTATTTCATTTGATGTTTATTATTCATAGAGATGGAGTCTTCCTATATTGCCCAGGCTGGTCTAGAACTCTTGCCCTCAAGCAATCCTCTTGCCTTGGCCTCCCAAAGTGCTGGGATTACAAGTGTGAGCCACTGCACCTGACCTCCCTGTGTACGCGCGCGCGCGCGCGCGCACACACACACACACACATAAAATATATCTATGTATATTATGCTATATATATATATGTACAACATATTGGCTCCCTGCACATATAGAGATATATATATATATACACACACACACATATATATACACAAACACACTATACATATATATAGCATATACATATACATGTATATATGTATATGCTATATATATATAGTGTATACATACACTATATATAGTATGTGCAAATATATACATATATATATATGTTTGTTTGTTTGTTTTTTGAGATGGAGGCTGCTGTTGTCACCCAGGCTGGAATGCAGTGGCGTAATCTCTGCTCACTGCAGCTTCTGCCTCCCAGGTTCAAGTGATTCTCTGCCTCAGCATCCTGAGTAGCTGGGATTACAGGTGCCCACCACAGTTGGCTAATTTTTGTATTTTTAGTAGATGGGGTTTCACCATACTGATCAGGCTGGTCTCGAACTCCTGGCCTCAGCCTCCCAAAATGGTGCGATTACAGGGGTAAGCCACCATGCCCGGCCCCTGCACGTATTTCTGAGGCCCTTTACGTCTCTTCTGCCATACTCCTTCCCCCAACTCTAGGCCGCTCCACCCTAACTGGCCCGCAAACGGCTCCCAAGCATACCATATACTCCTTTCCCGCTTCCGGGCCTCACACTCAGCCTGTTGTTCCCACTGCCTAGAATGCTCTAGAATGCACTCCACATCTGTCTATTAATGTCCTACCCACCCTTCAAGACTGCCTCTTCCTTCACCAACCCTCCTCTGCACATCCGTCTATTAATGTCCTACCCACCCTTCAAGACTGCCTCTTCCTTCACCAACCCTTCTCTGCACATCCGTCTATTAATGTCCTACCCACCCATCAAGACTGCCTCTTCCTTCACCAACCCTTCTCTGCACATCCGTCTATTAATGTCCTACCCACCCGTCAAGACTGCCTCTTCCTTCACCAACCCT